CCGTGAACCGTCTGACCAGGGTGCCGAAGCTGTCAATTGACTCGGCAGGTAGCTGGGTGTACTAGTTGAGTGCGGCCCCTTTGAGCAAGGTCGGAAAAACCTACACAGAATAGCATCGTTATTGGTGTAGAGGTTTACCTGTGTGGTGTACAGGTTGATGTGCTCGTCTGGGTCTGTCGTGCCGTCGTAGCGGTCGAGGTGGAGAGGCTTCCATCTGAGAGGGAGTGGCGTCTCCATAATGCCGTCCACAAAAGGATGACGGCAGAGGATATATATATATATATATATATATATATATATAATGTTTTTCATTGATATTACCAGGTGCCTGGAGCTGAAGCTCTTGTTGTAAGAGTTGTGTCATCTGTTGACAAGAAATTAGAAGTTAAACAGCGGTTTTTGGAGATTTTTCAGGAAGAGAACTACCCAACAGAATTCCCATATAAATCAAAGGTAAGAGGAAGGTTGCTTTATAGCTAGCCATGTTGGTAATCAAATCATTATTATTTATTGTTAATTTTGATGACTTTTGGTTTCCATTCCAGGTAGTTCTGTTGTTTCAGAAGATTGAAGGCGTGGAAGTATGCCTCTTTGGCATGTATGTTCAAGAGTTTGGATCTGAATCTTTATTTCCAAATCAACGTCGGGTTTATCTTTCATATCTGGACTCTGTTAAGTATTTTAGGCCTGAGGTTAAAGCAGTGACCGGAGAGGCTCTGAGAACATTTGTTTACCATGAAATTCTGGTAACCTTTAGTTTCGTGTAGGGTGACCTATTATAAAGCCTTGTGGAACCCCTTCTTGGAGACATTCAATTTGATTTATTTTCTTCCTGTAACTTCTATGCTATATAAATAGTTGAGCAGTTTTCATTATAATTTCCTTTCAGATTGGATACCTTGAGTATTGCAAGAAACGTGGTTTTACAAGCTGCTACATATGGGCATGTCCTCCACTAAAGGGTGAAGATTATATTTTATATTGTCATCCAGAAATTCAGAAAACACCAAAATCTGATAAGCTTAGGGAATGGTAAGTTTAATAGCTTCAGGAAAAACAAAATGAGAAAGTAAAGTTGCTTCATTGTATTATATTTACAAAATTCTAAATTTATTAATCTCTAATTCTAATTTGTTCATAAACATTTTTCTTCAGGTACCTGTCCATGTTAAGAAAAGCTTCCAAGGAGAATATTGTGGTTGAGCTCACGAACTTGTACGATCATTTCTTTGTATCTTCTGGTGAATGTAGGGCTAAGGTTACAGCTGCTAGGCTCCCATATTTTGATGGTGACTACTGGCCTGGGGCTGCAGAGGATTTGATTTATCAGCTACGCCAAGAAGAAGATGGAAGAAAACAAAATAAAAAAGGAACAACTAAGAAGACTATAACAAAAAGGGCTCTAAAAGCATCTGGTCAGTCAGATCTTTCTGGAAACGCCTCAAAAGATATTCTCCTAATGCACAAAGTAATTTTCCATTTTGATTTTTGAATATGTTATTCTTCATTTGTTCTTTTGGGCGAATGAAGTCCTTTGTTAATCATGTTTTTGAATTTGCTTTGTGTTATATAACTAGATCTTAAAACAATTTTACCTTCTCACTTAATTGCATTTATCATACATATGGGATTTCCTTATTTGGAAATAATAGTTTCCTTATTGTAAAGCTTTTGATCTCTCTCCAGCTTGGCGAAACCATTTCCCCAATGAAGGAAGATTTTATCATGGTTCATTTGCAGCATGCATGCACTCATTGTTGTATTCTAATGGTGTCTGGGAACCGTTGGGTTTGCAGCCAATGCAAGAATTTTCAGATTTGTGATAAGTAAGGATTCTTCTATCTTCTTGTTTTTTCATGTAGCATGTTAATTTAAATGTGCTAAAAATATATCAACATACTTTATCTGTCTGTATTATTATTATTATTATTATTATTGTTGTTGTTGTTGTTGTGGAAAGAGAGAAACAAATTTATTTTCTGGATTTGCTAGAGTATATCACTCAACAGCCTGATCTATTTATAATTATAATGAGGTAATTTCTATTGTGCCTTATTATTTTAAGTTGTACCTGTACATTTCCACATCAAGCCAGTCATTTTGTGACAACTAGCAAATTTTTTACACGTAAGCTTTCATCTCTTAAATTTAAATAAAATTGCAAAACAGTCTATATAAAACTATAAATTTTTAAATGGAGAGGGATTGAATGCGAGCAAAGAAGGTCAACATCAGACACATGAAAACCATCCACATTTTGGCGCTTCTCATTTTGAAATTAAGAGAAATTGTGAGAAAAACGCTTCCAAATCTTGAAGAAAAGACTCTTTGCGTGTTGTGCATGACACACTGACGAATCCAATCTTACTTCGAAATATTTGAGCATGCTCGAACGGGGTGGAAGGGTTTTGAGATTCGAAATTACTAGTTTATAGTGTTATATGAACTATTTTGGAATTTTATTTAAATTTAAGAGATGAAAGCTTACGTGTAAAAAGTTTGTTATTTGTTTCAAAATGACTAATCAGACATGAAAATGTACCAATACAACTTAAAATAACAAGGTACTGTAGAAATTACCTTATAATGTTTATAAAGATAATAACTACTATTTTGAACAGTAATGATTATCGTACATCTGGAAAATGTCCACCCAAATATATGATTAACTACATACATATATGATTAATTTTAGTCCATTAGTGGTCAAGAGTAGATGAACAGTTATCAATATGGTTAAAGTTAACCACTTCTAAGACACTGTTAGGAACCAAGAATTGTAAAAAGAAAGAAAGATTTTATTTCTTGATTGCAAAGAACAAAGAATAGGAGAGGTAACTCTCCTCCAGGAGTTTCCTATTCAGGAAAGGATTTCTCCTTTTACAAAAGGCTTAAGCTCAATTTACAAAAGAACAAATATGAATCCCTTTTCTTGCCTTCAATCCTCCTATTTATTTGACACTGACACTATAACTAACTAATATGTAATTTTCCTTTCCTTGTAGTCATAACATTACCACCCCTCCTATAAAAAACCTTATCCTCAAGGTTGAAATCTGGAAGGAAAAAAAAATCCTCCTGAGCAATAGGAGTTGAAAAGATCCATTTTGCCCCTCACCGTTGTTGTTGCCAACAACCATGGTTGCTCTGCCTGTAACAACACACTAACCACCACCTGAGTAAACTGGCATCCAATGGTGGTGGAGGTATTAGTGTGTATTGTATAACCTGAATTTCTGTAGTCATTGTTTGCAACATTTATCCTAGCAGTCCTGGCTCTGAAAGTTTGGTCAGCATGCAAAAAACCCAAAGCTCTGACATCATTGAAAGCCCATATTCCTCCATGATCAACCTTAGGTGAGTTGGTTCCAATAATGATTGCACACAGAAAGGCTTGCACAAAACCCCACATTCAACAATTCCTTGCTTCTCCGACATGCCCTATTCATGATCCTTTTCTTTCTCCTTTTTTCATCTTGTCTTTTCTTCTAAGAAGTTGATTTTCAGAACCTAAATCTTCTACTTTGTTGTTCCACCATTGTTCCCCTGTTCTGCACCCCAAATTGGCAGAATCTTGTTTCTTTCATTACCTTCCCATGCGACCCACTTACATCTAATGGAAGGTTTGCTTCTTTTACTATTTTTTTCCTCCCCCATTATGACACAGAACATCACTTTTGCAATCCCCTTCTCGGATTTGGTCTTGCCCTTGTCACTCTTCTCAAACATCGGATGAAATGCTACCTCTGTGTTGTCTCCTTTTTTCTCAGATTTTTCATCACTACAGTTCTTGATCTCCAAACTTTCTTTTTCCCTTGTCGTTCTTGCTTCAAGAATCTTTTGATCAATGATATAGAGAATGACTCTTGGTTTGAATCTGGGTTCTTTTGGCTCCAAAAGTAGAACCAATGCATTGCCACCCCCTCCATGCTCATTAAAGCATACTGCAACTTATGGAAAGAAGTAATTTCTTGTACCTCAAAGTAATTTCCAGCTCTAACAAGCCACCCAATTGGGGTCGTCCCCACAAATGCTGATAACACCTTTGCCCAATTGTGTGCTTCCTTCGTCTCTAACAGTAGCTCTCCTTAAAAATCTGGCAAGTTGGACCAATTGGTAGGAACCGAGAATTATTAAGAGAAAGAAAAGAAAGATTTTACTTGAATATGAATAATTTCTTATTATTGAATCTGAATAGGTACAATAAAATAAATAGGCATAAAACATAATCTATCCCTAAAGTTTAGGGATTTAGATAAAACTGACTAAGGAAACTAAACTAGAAAATAGGAGAAGATAAACTAGTATATCTAAACTATATCTTATATTATTATCTTAACAATCCCCCTCAAGCTGGAGCATATATATCATATGCATCTAGCTTGTTACATATATATGTTATCCTAGGACCTCGTAAAGATTTAGTAAAGATATCTGCAAGTTGATCCTTGGAGCAAACTGATGAGGTCTTGATGATACTGGAGAGGATATTTTATATGATCAACTCGTAGTCAATTTTTATATGCTTTGTTTTCTCATGAAAAACTAGATTAGAGGGATTAGAGGAGAGGTATAAAGCTGACTGGTTATCACAAACTAGTTCCATATGACCAACCTTGCAAAACTGCAACTCTTGAATTAAGAATTTTAGCCACAAGAGCTCACATGTGGTGTGAGCCATAGCACAATATTCTGCTTCTGTACTTGATCGTGCAACAACACTTTGCTTTTTACTCTTCCATGAGACAAGATTACCACCCATGAAGACACAATAGACTGATGTTGACCGCCTATCACTTGCATCACCTGCCCAATCTGCATCTGAATATCCAACAATGGGTGTATGTCCTCTATCATTGTAAACAAGTCCTTTTCCTGATGATCTTTTGATGTATCTAAGGATTCAAACAACTGCAAGTCAATGACTCTCACGGGGAGAGTTAAAAAACTGACTTACAATCAGGTCTGGTCATGGTGAGATAATTCAAGTTTTTCACTAATCTCCGATATCTCCCTGGGTCAGGATAAGGCTCTCCCTGATTAGGCATAAGCTTTACATTAGGATCCATGGGAGTGTCAACTGGTTTACAATCTGTAAGTCCGGTCTCTTCTAGAATATCAAAGGCATATTTTCTCTGAGAAATAGCAATTCCGGACTTTGACTGAGCGACCTCAATCCCAAGGAAATAATGTAGGGGACCTAAATCCTTAGTTTGAAAGTGTTTAAATAAGTGTTGCTTCAGAGCCTTGATGCCCTCCTGATCATCACCTGTAATCACAATATCAGTTACATAAACAAGATAGATAAATCTATGTGTCGATGAGCGTCTAAAGAAGACAGGGTGGTTTGTCTCGTAGCGGATCATTCCAAATTCCTGTATAAATTTGTTAAACCGACCAAACCAAGCACGAGGTGATTGTTTGAGGCCATACAAGGACTTTTGTATTTACATACAAGACCAGACCCCCCTTGAGTAACAAACCCAGGAGGTTGATCCATATAAATCTCCTCCTCCAAATCACCATGTAAGAAGGCATTTTTGATGTCTAATTGAAACAAAGGCTAATGCCTCATAGCAGCCATAGCTAAGAAGAGACGAACTGAGGCCATCTTTGCAACTGGAGAGAAGGTGTCGCTGTAATCCAAACCATATACTTGCGTGTATCCCTTAACCACAAGACGAGCTTTCAATCTATCCACCTATCCATCAGGGCTGCTTTCACATTAAATACCCACCGACAACCAACAACAGATTTTCTAGGCGGAGGTGGGACAAGTATCCAACCGTGGTTGGAGTCTAAAGCTGTCATCTCATCAATCATTGTTTGTCGCCATCCTGGATGGGTTAAGGCCTCTTGTACTGTCTTGGAAATGGTAATAGAGAAAATAACAGAGACAAAAACATAATAGGTAGGAGACAAACGATGATATGAAAGAGTTATAAATAGGATGAGGATTACAAGTAGAACGACTATCTTTATGAAGAGTAATGGGCAAGTCAACTGAGGTAGGTAGGGCCGGAGTAGGTAAGGAGACTGGAGCAGGGGCAGAATCACATGACTCAGTTGTAGAAGTACTGGGAGGAACAATAGTATGTGACCGACGCTCATAGGTTATCCCAAATCGGTGTAGAGGACGATCAAACCCTGGTGGTGTGCTAGGAATCTCTGGTGCCTCTAAAGTAGTAGGTGTAGAAGGCACACCGGGATCAAAATGAGGAATAGGCAATACCTGAGAAAGGAGATCTAAGTCAATCGAAGAGACATCTGTAGCAACGAAATATGGTGTATTTTCAAAGAAAGTGACATCTGCACTAGTGTAAAATCGATGTGTAGCTGGAGAGTAACAGCGGTACCCCTTTTGAACACGGGAGTATCCTAAGAACACACATTTGATAGCCCTAGCAGACAACTTAGCACGTCCTGAGAAAAGATCATGGACAAAACAAGTACAACCAAAGACACGAGGATGAACAGAGTAAATGGGATCCAATGGGTATAATAGGGAATGAGGTACTTGATCACTCAAGATAGAGGATGGCATTCGATTTATTAAATACCCTGCAGTAAGTACAGCATCTCCCCACAACTTTGGGGGTGCATTGACATTCAATAAAAGAGTACGAGCAGTGTCCACAATATGTCTCTGTTTTCGCTTAGCTACACCATTTTGTTGAGGTGTATGAGGGCAACTAGATTGATGTAGAATGCCATGGGAAGTCATAAATGATTTAAAGCAATCTGAAAAATATTCTTTAGCATTGTCACTTCGTAAAATCCGAATTTGCCAAATTGAGTTTTTGATCTCCGAATAGAAACTTTGAAA